GGTGCTCCGCAGCATTCTAGACCAGCTGTCAATGAGTTCTGAACTCACCACGGGCCCCGGCCTGCAAACATTTCTACGTGACTAACTTTACTCACAGGAGTAACCCTCCGTGGGACCATAACTGTGAGTTACGTTACTTGCGTGTGTCAGTATAGGCAGGATTAGGGCCCACGCCGTTCAAGGGAGAAGGTGCCTGGGACTGGGTTTTAGCAGCCTAGCTCTTCCACCCTTCTTTGAGCACCCTGGGTATAACATGTTAGAACCTATACAGGAGATAACGAGGTTGGGAAAACTGATGGGGTCTAGTATTTCATCTTCTTTACATCAACCTCAGGGTCCAGACAACTACACTAAGAGCCACACAGGTGGGCCCCTGCACTCAGGCTCTAGGTGGGTGTATCGGGGTGGCCATGTGGTTCGCAATACTGGATCAGGGCCTAAGAGTAACCGCAAAAGTCTACTGGCTTTAGAGAAGGAAGGCAAGGCAGTTACGCTAGATGCATGCTACACACCAAACCCACGTGAAAAACCACCACCTATTCCAGGAACACAGAGCAACGAAGTCACCAGGGCTCATACTCCCCAGGGATTCTAAACTACTCCGATATTTATTGGCAAGTAGGAACTGGAAGGGCACAGGATATCCCCACAAAAATGACACCAAAACAGAACTACACTAGATGAGCGTGCAATTGCAGTAAAGCTCGGTAGGAGTAAAACCGAAGAAAAGCTGCAAAATGAAAGTAAAAATGACCAAACTAAAAGCGCAGAATTAGTGTGAGGTTTTAAAACCTGCATCAGGGACAACAACAAATACTAAAGGGAAATACAGAGCTGCTGCCAAATACAGAGGAAGTTCAATAATAGAGATGGGAAAGGGCGAAATACTCAGAACACATGCACTTTGTTTCATTCTCCAACAAAAAAGAATGAAGGAAGCAGGCGGCACGGCAAGATAAACGTTAATGAGGATCTGGTGAAGTTAATGAGGCAGGTCGGAGATTACTCACTGAACTTGAAGCTCGTGGGCTGCCTAGGTGGAAGTGATCATGATGACCTGGTTACATTTGTTTTGGGCAAACAGAATTAAACCAGACAGCAATATATGTTTGGCACTTGAAAAGGGTCAATTTCCAAAAGCTAAAAATAATGATGGGAAAAACTCATTGGGAGGAAATAATTAGACAGAGACATGTGACTAATGCCTGGGAACAGTCCAGAAGAACATCTTACTTCAGGCCCAAAGGGAACGAGTCCCTCAGCAGCCAAAGGGCTATTTTGATTAAACAGCCCTCTTCATTAGGAGGGGATATGAAAGCAGCAATACAATATAATGAAACAATACATTCATAAATGGAAAAACAGGGAGGCAGCTGGCAGCGAATAGGAATCAGATGTTAAAGGAATGCAGGCGATTTATTTCAGAAGCTAAAAGGTATCAAACTTTCCCATGGCCAACAGGGCCAAGGACAAAAAGACGGAACGTTTTGAAATATATCAGGAACAAAAGGAACCCATTCAAACGTACAGATCCACTCCTAGCTGGAGATGTGGAAAGTGACAACAATGAGAACAAGGCAGAAGCAGTGTTCAATAAATAGTTCTGCTCTGTATTTGGGAAGAAGCTGGATGATGCAGTCTCACCATATAATGATGATGAAATACTTTCCCGTCCAACAGTAGCCAAGGAGGATGTTAAAACCATGTCCGCTAAAGACAACCATTTTTAAAACCAGTTTTTTGCACCCAAGAATTTTAAAGGAGCATTCCAGAGCACTGATGTTAATCTTGGAGAACTGGAGATAAGAACGTTAGTGATTTGCCAATATTTAGAAAGGGCAAATGGTATGAACCAGGTAACCATGGATATGCTTATATTGCATTTAGACACCGGTGACTGGCCCCTGCCGGCTGACTGGGACTCACGGGGCTGTTTAATTGCAGTGTAGACATTTGGGTTCAGAGGCAGTGCAAGCTCTGGGACCCCCCTCACCTTCCAGGATCATAGAGCCAGGGCTCCAGCCCGAGCCTGAATGTCTATACCGCAATTAAACAGCCCCTTAGCGTGAGCCCTGCCAGCCGCTGGTTTTCAACTGCTGTGTAGACATAACCTATAGGCCTGTTTGCCCAGGATCCAATAGCAGGCGAAGTCATGGAATGGCAGCTACAGGATCATCGCCGAAGAGTTGAAAGGATGAAAATATAATTAACTACCTCCAATGTGGGCTCCTGGAAAACGCGGTTCTGTTAAAAGAACGTGTTATTGTTCTCGGAGATGAGTACAAGTGTGGCTGACGGTGGGAATCGTGCTGCGGGAATATCCTGGGACAGCTGACAGTACCACACAACAGCCTCCTTGAAAAGGGCGAACTAGCTAAAAATCGGCGTGACTCAGATGAAAGGGATTTACAAGGGTTAACTGATCAGCCTCAAAACGCAGTTGTTAATGGGGAAGTATCAATGTCTAGAGGGGGCCAATTCTCAGCCCAACGCTATTGTGAAGGACTAGGGAGGCGGTATAACTCGCTACACTGTATATTGCGCTAGTGAGACCATTGCTGTATTCTGTGTCTAGATTTGGGGTCCACACTTTAAAACCATGTTGGGAAGGGTTTGGAGAATAGCGACAAAAACGATCGGTGGCCTGGAAAACGTACCTTATCATGACAGATTAAAGGAACTTGAGCTATTGAGTTTATCAAAGAGTCGGTTAAGGGCGATTTAAAACACAGACTAAATACCCACACAGGGAGTTACTGGTAACAGTCAGCTCATTAATGTAGCACACGAAGGCATAGCAAGAGCCAATGCCGGGAAGTTCAGTCAGCAAAATTCAAACCGGAAATAAAAATGCAACATGTTACCAGCAAGGGCAATTAACCTCTGGAACAGGTTCCCAGGGGAGGGGGTGGGTTCGCCATCATCTGGAGTCTAACACAGGGTTAGTTAGTTGTCTTCCTAAAAGATATGCTCTAGTTCGACCACAAATCATTGGGCTGAAATTCTCTGTCCTGTGTCATACAGGAAAACAGACTAGATGATCCTGGTGCTCCCTTCTGGCCTTAAAACCTATTAAATGTGTAATTTAAATGTACTTAAGTCAGCAGAGCCGGGGTCATTCATTCCAAGGTCCTCAGAGAACCAGAGGAATCGTTACAGCTGACAACTCACAGAAAACAGGTGAGGATCAGAGGAGGATATCATCTACACCAGTGGTTCTCAAACTAGGGCCATCGCTTGTTAAGGGAAAGCCCCTGGCAGGCCAGGCCGGTTTCTTTACCTGCCGCATCCGGAGGTTCGGCCGATCGCGGCTCCCACTGGCCATGGTTCGCCGCTCCAGGCAACGGCGCGGGCTGTGGGATGTGCTGGCCGCCCTTCCCGCAGCCCCCAGTGGCCTGGAGCTGCGATTGGCCGAACCTGCGGACGCAGCAGGTAAACAAACCGGCCCGGCCCGCCAGGGGCTTTCCCTGAACAAGCGGTGGCCCCAGTTTGAGAACCACTGCTCTACACAGAAACTGCATTCCGGCTATTCTGGGTGGGTCTCTGCACACGACAGCACAAAGCCACAGTGCAAGCCTGCGTGTGAAAGGTGTGTTGACACACATACAGAGAGGAATTTGGATTTTAATATTCTTGAACGGCATATTTTTAACCTGTAGGGCCAGACTCTCAGCCTGTGCACATTGGCACACATCTGCTGAAGGCAACGGGAGTATAAAACCAAATCTGAGAACATGAAGTCAATGGACTATGCTGAGTATCTGGCCTGTAGCTTTAAGGGTAGGAGGTCTGAAACGGGCTAACTGCTAGATTTACACATAAGTGTGGAGCCCTTGTGACACTTTAGGTACCCCCCCCCCCACCATGGAGTAGGAATGGACCTGCTGCACCATCCCAGGACTTGCCGTAGGAAGCATCACGAATCAGAGTATGTCTACACTGCAGTTAGCCCAAGCCCCAGAAGCCCGCGCCAGCCACAGGGGTCTAAGGGACTGTTTGAGGCTAGAGACCAGGTCGATCTGGAGCCTGGGCTCTGGGACCCTGTGAGGTGGGAGGGTCCCAGAGCCCAGGTTGCAGCCAGAACCTGAACACCTATAGCACAGTTAAACAGCCCCTCGCCCGAGCACCGCGAGCCCGAGTCAGCTGGCACAGGCCAGCCGCGGGGGTCTCACTGCAGTGCTGACGTATCCTCCAACAGAGGCACAGTCCTTTACACAGACCCGTTTCCTACCGCACCCGTTCCAGGGAGGGTGTAAATAACCCTCCTTACGCCTGCGTGCCCAGACCCAAGGTCGGAGTAGCCCATGGAGGGGCTTCTTCCTGCCGTACACAGGCACAGAGGGTTAGTTTGTGACTTCGGCTAAGACAGCATTTCCTTAGCTGCTGGAACAGTGGCATGAACGCTCGAGCCAGGTGAGCCTATGATGAGCTGATATGCACAACGTGAGCATGCTCTGAGTGAGCCAAGCCAGGAAGGGAAGAATTGTTAAGTGGAAGTATGGAAGAGACCAGAACAAAGACAATTACTTAATTTTGGAGTTCCATGGGCCTTGACCGTGTCCCGTTAACTGTTACGAATCTCCTCCAATCTCTCACTCATAGCACTACATCCTACACACCAGCTTCCCCCAACCGTACATTTCCAGCCAGAAAGACAGTCTTTGTGAAAAAGGAAAACAAGCAAGAAATGGGTGTCTATTAAAAAGCTGAAACAAAGCAGAAAGAGCATGAATGTTTTAATCAGACGCTGGAAAAGAGCAAGTGTATTTTGTTAAAAGCGCGCCAAGCAAAGATTAAAAATCCCTTAACACCCCAGAAGTGCAAAGCCAAATCTAGGAACTGTCACTAGACGCAACACAAGCTGACAATCCGTATTCTACAATTCCGTTGGGTACATTATCCAGCCTTACTCGCGCCACAAAAGCGACTGAATTCTACTGCACCAAAGGAAGCCTTGTTTATAAGTTTTTGTCCATCGTGTTTTACTGAACTGTACTTACTTTAAGGAAAGAGAATAGTCATGCTTGCTTGTTTGACTATTCCTTACAAGGTAGCTACATTCTTTACACAACCGTAACAGGTTTTCTGCATCTGTCCGACTGATTGCGCCATGATACCATCTAGGAAAAAGGAAAAGCAATTAAGACATCAGTAAACAAGTATTCAACTCACAGAACATTTAGCTACATAAGTGCTTTAATTTGAATCAGTGGTTAACAGCTTGAGGATCACTCCAATAAAATACATTGGTTACGTTCTAGAAGGCTGTCATTACAATTTGAGAGAGACAGGGGGAGTGAAGTAATATCTTTTATTGGACCAGCTTCTGTTGGTGAAAAGGACAGAGTTCGGTGTCAGCTTGAAAACTGGTCTCTCTCACCAACAGAAGATGTTACCTCACACACCCCATCTCTCCAATGTCCTGGGATCAAGCTGGCCAAAACAACACTGCAAGTTACAATTTAAGATGACGCTTGCACAGGAGTGTCACAGAAGGCTGAAATGTAAATCAGGATGTATATACTAGTAGAGTCTATATGAACCTTCCCATGCAATGTTTGGTAACAATCTGAGGACATTGTTAGAAAACAATGGTATATCTGCCATAATCATATGATAGGAGAGAACTGTGAAAATCTCTGGTCTCCAACCCACACAGGCTTCCTGCCTCCCACAGAAGGGAGTGTATCTGTAATTTAAATAATTGAAATGATCCAATTGTATAAATCTAACTGGGGGATAAAAATGGAACAAAAAGGGAACATCAGGATTGCTATATATGAGAAATGCTATATATGAAATATGAGAAAGCATGAAAGAATAAGAGAAATGAGAAATAGGTGTGTGCCTGTTTCCTTAACAGAACGGCTAAACCAAAGGCACTCTTTCTAAATACACCTGTGAACAATGTAGAATGTTTTTATTTAACCCCCTGGATAAGTCTACTGGGCTAGTTCCTTTAAGGAGAGATGAAGGGGTCAGGCATTCTGAAAGCTCGTCAATTACATCATGAAGGAGGGGAGGGAGAAATTAGCCCTTCCTCATCTGCAAGCATGTCTGCAAATTAAAGGTTGTGGAGGCTTGGTTTCCCTAGGATTTGCCATACAGGATCAGGTTGTACTAGTCCCATAATGCACGAGCTAAGGCATTAGAGGAAAACAGACCTCACACCTTGCGCCAGACACATGATATGCCTGGTCAGTGGTGCAATGATGTACATGCATGGGGAGAATCTCTTCCTTACTCCTGCAGTGCGCAGCTGACACCCCGATGCAGAAAATTTGACCCACCCCCACCCCACCCTTAGCAAGCATAACCACAAATATTACTGGCCTTGAACGCCATGAATTGCTGCATGCTGTGTGGAAAAGCATTTCCTTTTATTTGTTTTAAATTTACTTCCCCAATAACTTCCTCTGAGAAGGGCGCTGCACTCACTACCACTGAACAAAGGCATTGCCAGAGAGATTCCCTGGAGGACAATCCATTACGCTCCTCAACATCTGTGGGGTAACGTTAGCCCTATGGAAAATCCTGCTCGCGAAATCTGGTGCAAGGCCCTAAACAAAGCTCGGTGCTAGTATTAAATATTCATCACGTCACCCTCTCTTGTTACATCCAGAGTCTCCACCAGAAATGGAATATCTCAACCGATGGAGGGATTAGGACATAGGCTCTTGAGGGTCTTTATTCTGCTCTCTACTAACTGTGAAATGAAGGCACGAGAAGTATTGAGAAATGAGTAAGAAAATTAGCTGACAAGGCTTTTTCCATCAGATATTTACAGGTAGGGGAGATTTCTTAGTAAGAATTTTAGAGGTTATCCTGATAGGGTTCTGAGAACCAAACTGAAAGAAGCGTTATCAAATGGAAGAAGTGATCTGAGCACGGAAGAAAACACTAAAATGATCGGATTTCACAAAGCGACAGAACAATAGAATTGAGAAGGGTGATCTGAAAAAATATATCATTGCCATTCGTGCAAAAAAAAATTAATAATCCTCAAAAACAAAACATCTAAACCAACAACAGGGAAATGCCCATTAACCTGAGATTGAAAGCAACACACTTCAGCTACACCCATAGGGCTTAATGCATGCCTCCCGGCCCGGGGCAGCTGCATTAGACGTGTGTGAGTGTGCAAGGCAGAGTGTGTGCACAAGTGAGCAATACTTGTGCTACTGCTTCACGTGTGGGTTGCAACTCGGAATTTGGGCTTTAAAATGTGATGGGCGAAAACAGCAGCCTGAGGAGACATGGGGTAACGGCTGATGGCGATTACATTTCTGTATCAGAGATAAATATTGCTAACGTGGCTTGGGGAGTCAGTGACTCTTTACTGGTATATAGGAGTGTATTACTTTGCATAGCATAGCCATATAAACTAGACACCCAATACTGCAGCGATTTCCAAAGCCAACTACAGACTTTAGCATGGCAGTGTGTCCTTAAGCAGAGTTAGAATCTCAACAGATAGGTTTATTTTGTTTGCACTGGGGCTGTCTATTGTTCAAATGTCTCTCTCTCTCTCTCTCTCACACACACACACACACACACACACACACACACAGGTCAAGACTCAGCTGCCAACAACATGGCCAACAAGCAGTGAAATAGCCTCAGCAAACATGCTTGCATAAACATGTAAAACAGAAGAAGCTCTAGAGGTCCAGGTCCCATAAGGATGCTAATAAAAGACCCAGCAAAAATGTATGGCAAAACACTAAAAGAGGGGTAGGCAACCTATGGCACGCGTGCCAAAGGCGGCACGCGAGCTGATTTTCAGTGGCACTCACATTACCCTGGTCCTGGCCACCGGTCCAGGGGGCTCTGCATTTTAATTTAATTTTAAATGAAGCTTCTTAAACATTTTAAAAACCTTATTTACTTTACATACAATAGTTTAGTTATATATTATAGATTTATAGAAAGAGACCTTCTAAAAACATTAAAAATGTATTACTGGCACGCGAAACCTTAAATTAGAGTGAATAAATGAAGACTGGGCACACCACTTCTGAACGGTTGCCAACCCCTGCACTAAAAACTTGTACGCATCATTCAAATGTGATCATGTATTTCTACCCAAGCAGGGCCTGTTCCAGCTCCCAGTGAAGTGACTACAGATAGTCCCGTTGATTGCAATGTGCAGTAGACCAGGCCCTTAATGCGGTCTTTTCACTTTGCACAATTGAATCTGCTTGTCTACACATGGTGTTGTTCCTGATTAACTTAGCTAAATGGCTATTAGCTAAACAGGATCAAGAAACTCTAGTTCTGGAATAACAGCATCCAGCCATGGAGTTAATCGGGGACCACCACCATATGTAGACACGCCCTTAGAGTGAGGGCCAAATTCAGCTCTGGTGTAAGCAGCTATAACGCCACTGAAGACCAGGTAGTTGCATCACTTAGGGTACGTCTTCACTATCCGCCGGATCGGCGGGTAGTAATCGATCTATCAGGGATCGATTTATCGCGTCTCGTCTAGACACGATAAATCGATCCCCAAACGCGCTCCCCGTCGACTCCGGAACTCCACCAAGGCGAGAGGCGGAAGCAGAGTCAACGGGGGAGCCGCAGCCGTCGATCCCACGCCGTGAGGATGGGAGGTAAATAGATCTAAGATACGTCAACTTCAGCTACGCTATTCTCATAGCTGAAGTTGCGTATCTTAGATCGATTTCCCCCCCCCCCCCAGTGTAGACCAGCCCTTACTCATCCTGTCAGGCTCATGTATTGCAGCTCACCTACTATGCAGCATTACATTACTCACAGTTCTGAGCTGGGCACTGGAGGACTAGAGTAGCTGCAAAGGACCTTATTTACAGGGGCGAGGGGTGGAAGGAAGATCTCATCTCCAGTGAGAGGCAGGAAGTACAGAAGAGACATCGTCATCTTCATGGTCTCATTTTTTGCCTTGTATATGGGGGAAGTGGAGCAGTTCCACTCAACTTCTTCAGGTCTCTGACTTGCCAGGTACATGTGCTTAGAGGTTTGTTTTTCCCTTAACACCAGGCATCTAAAAGTAATTTCCTGATGCTTAGCTGGAGCTGACATTTGTGTCTTGCCAACATACCCTGCACTAATCCACTCACTTTATAATCTGCACACACACACACACACACACAAACCCTGTCTCTCTCTGCTTCTCAGCAAAGATTTAGTAGCAGATGCTGCAGAAAGGTGTCATATTACTAAGACTTAATTTAAACCAATCATTTACGCTCATATTTCAAGATGTACTGCAGCATAGTTTTTAAAAATGAACTACCTGCTCACCTATTTTGTGATACGTTACTGTTGCTTTTTAAAAATAATTTGTTCATTTCAGGCTTGACCCTGGAGATGCAGTTATGGGAACTGAGGTTTCTCGACACCTCACAGCTTCAGACCTTTACATTTGCCCATTCACAAAGTCCAGAAAGTTGCAAAGGGTCTCCCAGTTACTGGTGCAAATTAGCAAGGTGCTACTGTATTCCCAAAGTCAGAAGCTGCTCCTTTGCGCGGATTCAATCTTGGATTTCATGTCAAGTTGATGAACCAAGAGTCTGGTGTAAATATCTGAACATCACCCGATGAATTGAAGACAGAAGTACAGCCAGAACTCTGGTTTTTACTTTCTATTTTAACATAGTTGTTGCATTTCAAATTATCCACTAAATCTTGACCTCATTCATGTCCTGTTTTATTCGCCCACCAAATGTTCTGAGTTATACTACCATCCCCACCCTACTAAACTTCGTATTCTTTAAAGAGTCCAAACGACTCAACTGATTCTAATCAAACTTTGTCGTATGAAATTGATGGTAGTTTCTTGGCTAAAACCACTTAAATCCCAGAGTGAGTTTTTATAGCCAACGTTATAGTCCTGTAAAAGCCAGGTGTATAGTAGAGGTGTTGCCTGACCCTTGACAGTTGCAGTTTCCTAGATTAGAGATTTCTGCATTTTCAATGCGTAGCTGCTTGAAAGCTTTGGGCGATGCCAAAGGGGTAGCATGACTGTGTGGATGAGAATATTGCCCATTGGAGAACTTGAGGTGCAAACCCCACTTGCAGAATGTGCTGCCACTTGGCTAAGCTGTATCTGCAGCAATAGGTCTGGTACCAGATCACATTACCACTTGTAACCACACACGCAGCTCTGCTCAGTCATCCGCTGGGTGACATGGAAGCACAGGGAACCCAAGAGGCACCCCCATAGAGGAGAGAGAGACAGACATATGTTCTGGAGACTCTTCCCAGACTGCCCTAGGAGCAGGTGTGGAGCCAATAAACCCAGAGCTGATTATTACCCTTGTTCTGATGATCTCTCCTTATACTGGTTTTGTAACAGGTCCAGCCAGGTGAACCCAGAAACTGTTCTCACCGATAGGTGGAAAGGGATGAATATCTGAAACAGTATGACTACTTTCTATATAAACAAGATCTTCAATTAGAGAGACTTTAAAGCAGGGCTTTGATAGGCTTGAAATATAAGAATAAATGTGATCGACACAGATAAAAATTTAAACACAAAAATGAGCCACTTACAATTCACACAGATCATGATGATTACAGCTCTTGAGCATCATTCAGACAGACTTCTATTGTTTCCCCCCCGGCACCTATCAGCATAATATTTACACACTGTACAACAATTAGAGATAACCCTCAGGGTGGTGACATTCTCACACCCTCCCTTGTTCCTTGTGTGCATGCTTAGGGGTTTGTAACAGCATGAAACACCGGGAAGTACAGGGGACAACAAGACCGGAATGTTAACAGGCCTCATTCCCTTCCAGCCGCCTGCCACTCACTCAGGCAGATACAGAGCTGTGCACACACAGCGTTTTCCATGTGAACTCACATTTGTTTTTCCAGTGGCACAGTTGGATCTACTCTCTCTCCCAGGATCCCACAGAATTCCGGGCTGCCATGCTTGATGGGTTTGAAGCCACCTCCTGGCGCTCGGAGCTGTCGACGCCTGTCACTTGAAGGTGAAGGAGAAGATTGCCTTTTCTCATTCCCGTTAAACTGGGCTGCAAGAGATTTGTAAGAGACAACAGTTACCTTTTCAGAATCTACTGACAAAAGAATTCTAACAATGATGACCAGAACTGCAGCATTTTAGAGGGCTTTATGCTTTAGAATGAGGATAAATATGCGTCTCTGACATGGGATTTAGTGGTTTACCCAAGATGCTTAACGTAACATGGAGCCTGATAGTTCACATTACAGTCCTAAAATACTGCATCAGATAACTTAGTCCAGTTGTTAGACAACCATCAACAGTGCTTGTTTTCAACATCTGACTTGCATCTCCATCACATTTAACTGCTCAGTGTGGAGCAATTTGCATTATACTGAAGAGACTTATTTTCGCTTGTTTTAGGGATGTGATTCAAACATAAATCAGGTCAGAGAAGATGCAAGAACCCAGTTCCTCTGAAGGTATATGGAATTGCTTGGACAATGATCCAGGCGAAAACCCGGACAGTACATAGTTACATGAATACTTCAAATGCACTGACTGATGAGCAATAATTTAAAAATGCAGCCAGGCAGTGTTTGGGAAGACCAGGGGTTTGGGACCCCTCAAGGGGTCGCGAGGTTATTACATGGGGGGTCGCGAGCTGTCAGCCTCCACCCCAAACCCCGCTTTGCCTCCAGCATTTATAATGGTGTTAAATATATAAAAAAAGTGTTTTTAATTTATAAGGGGGGGGGTCGCACTCAGAGACTTGCTGTGTGAAAGAGGTCACCAGTACAAAAGTTTGAGAATCACTGGGCAAGACGCTTGTGTCTTGAAATAATGGGGTAAAATGAGTGACAAAACTAAAAACGTCATTTGCCCGTCTCTCACGTGGTGGTCCCGCCAAAGCAGAGTGTCAGTTCTGGAAGCCTGTGATTTCTCATGGCATTGCAACATCAGTAACAGAAAACACACTGAAATAAGTGCTCATAAAAACTATACTTAAGAGTTTTAGGGACCATCACAGTGTCATTATTTTTATCCAACCCCACGTATTGATAGCTGTGGTCCTCCAAGGAAGAAGGCACAGATGTGGTCACAGAGGTTTTAATATCTACATTCCCTGCTCTAAGTTCCTGGGTCATCTTTCCTGGGTCATCTTCCCCATAAAAAATGGGAGTGCTGACTCTGCTGCTCCGGAGAGATTTCTCAAACAGCAGCAGCAGCATGAAGCTGTCACGTTTCACTGCCGCCGACAGCTTTCTGAATAGCAGCTGCAAAACTGTCCAGTCTTGACAGGCACATGCTGCTGTTGCCGGACAACAGGTTGAGCAGCAGCAGAGGCACTGGAGCTGCCTGGCTGCAGATTCAGGATGGCCGCACTGCACTGGTTTACATTCAGCTCACATTTTTGATTTTCTCCTGGTAACAAAATGGGTTAAAAAGCTTAATTAAAAAGCACACCTCACGTGCAATAGAAATTGATGTCAGAGCCCCATGTTTGCCAGAGAGCTGCCCGCTCACCTCTGGAAGAGGATTTTTCTTTCTCTGCTGAAGATCATGAATTATTGATTCTCAGCAGATCTGTGGACCCAGTGCAACACAAACCAGTCTTTCCAAGGGTTTGGAATAGGGCAACGATCGTAAATTAAGATCAGTGGTTACCTGCTGAGAAGTTCGACAGCAACCATAGGGAAACAGTCATATCAAGAATGTTCCTGGACATGCTTGGTCGGTGCCAGATGCTAAAAACCCACCTAGTGCTCCAGGGCAATGGTATTACCATGGCATAAGTTTGCAGTGACTAACATGGAGAGTTTGGAATGGTTTGTACACACCCTGCAGCTTTGCATCCATGACACTTTGTTAAAGCCAGCCTGGATGACCAGCTGAGTCACCATTTAATTGACAGGACAGGAATCAGCATGACCCAGCACAGCCAGAATTCAGCTTACTAGGATACATAGCATGCCAGACGTATATTTGGTACGAATCACAATTGCTGATCTGATCCAAACTATTTACATATTACATGCTCAGGGGCGCTAGCCAAAGTGTCCTAGGCGTTATGCAAATCTCAAAAGATTGCACTTAACGAAACAATGAATGTGGGAAAAGGGAAACAACATTTTTTTTTTTTTACTTAATTTGCAATTTTAAAAGGTTTATCTTATCAGTTGTAAGATCAATTCCCAAGTGCCCCTCTACCTCGGCATTATAAATTAGGGGCAGAAGTGGGTCAAACATATTCATACATAACCTATTTCCTTCTCGCACTGGCAAATTTAGCGTAGTTACTGCAGAATGAGTTACTCTCCAAAAGAAGATGAAATAGCGTGTGCCACAAACAGCCAACACATAATCAGTTATTATTTCCACTAGGAAAGAAACAAACACACTAAGCTGCTGTAAAATGGACATCATCTCTCTACTGGGACTCTGTGAATGATAATGAACAAGTTTTATGCCTCCAGCCAACGAGAAATATCCTTAAAATAAATATTTTATTTATTCTAGCCAAAAAGAGATAACCTACCACTAAACAGTAATATTGTTATAGCAATACGGTATTTAAAATCAGTGTCTATATACATTCCTTGTGCAAAAATCTCCTGTTTAAATTCCAGAGGCACTTGCATATTCTGTTTCTGGCTGGTGGCCTTAGGCATCTGATTCGGGCACCTGGACAACGTGTGTCTGTGTGTGTAGAGGCAGTACAAGCTTCCGAGCTACAGCTGGTTGAAAGTCTGAATTTCTGTTCTGCAGGAAATTTGGAGGGGGGTGGGAGGGAGAGCCTTCCATTTTGGAACAAAAAGTAGAAATTTCAAAAAGGTTGCCACAGAAGGGAAGTCTGAAAAAAGTAAGTTCCTGGAGACAACTGCAGCATTTCTGGGGCGTGACAGCACTTTGCAGTGTTCTAGCAATCCAGCCAGTCCTGCGGTGCTATACGGGTGAGGGTACGCGGCGAGAACATGGAAGTAACGGCTCAGGCCAAAGGTAACCGTTTCGAGAATGAGATAATTGGTATTAATAGGAATGGATGCGTTATTAATACGTAAGAATATTCTAACCTATAGAGTAAGTGTAATCCAACGATTTATCTGGATGAGGAAAAAAAGATTTGTGCATGGAAGTTTGGGCACGGATATGAATACTCAGTATAGTGTCAGGAGCCTATAAGAGGGCAAATCACCATGCGGAGAGGATTCTTTTTCCTTTTCTTTACCCTTAAGGCCTCTCTTGTTTTGGCTATCAGCTTAGCTTTTGCAATACAGTTTAACGACTAAACACCCGATCCTGATCTCCACCATCTCAAGAGTGGAGGATCCTGGACCATCGCACTCATTGGGCTGGTACTTTGTCTCCCACGACCAGGCCCCAAGGAAGGGTGTGAGTATACTAGTTTAAGTGGCTTTGTAAAGGGATGATCATAGAATATCAGGGTTGGAAGGGACCTCAGGAGGTCATCTAGTCCAACCCCCTGCTCAAAGCAGGACCAATCCCCAGACAGATTTCCCTAAATGGCCCCCTCAAGGATTGAACTCACAACCCTGAGTTTAGCAGGCCAATGCTCAAACCACTGAGCTATTCCACCGACCCACCCACAAGGGTCTATAGTACTGTACTACTTCTTCGTGGCTCTGTGGTTTGGGGTGTTAACTCTTTCCTTTATTTTCATAAAAATCTCGAAAGCCTGGCTTTGTCCTCAGTGTGAATGTCCTTGCCATACACCCCGAGGGTCCAGACAAATGATTGAACGCTTTACATTCTCTCATTCTGTAGCCTGTTTTGGGACAAAAACCTAAGTATCTTCTGGTCAGATCACTGGCGAGCCTATAATAAATCAGCCCTATAAAAATCAGGTTAACGATGGCTTGTTAGGCTTCTCGGCTCCTCGCTTTCTGCTAAGGCTGATGGGGCGCAGGACCGGTGACTGAGCCAGGAGCCTCGGAGCTTGGACTCAAGTTCATTAAAAATGTTAGAAGTGAAACATTTTGATTATTTCAAAATATTTCCTCCCTCGTCTCTGCTGGGGTAGAGAACAAGAGAGGAGGCTGGGTGGTTTTGCTTCCTAGTAGCTCTTTCTCCCCTCTCCTTCACCAATAGAAGGGAGAGGACAGAGGTCAGTTTAAAGTGAGCTGCCTGGGAAGACAAGTTGAGCCTGAAACCTTTTTGCAGTTTTATGGAGTATCGGGCTAGTAAACCAAATATTTCCTTTAACACACACCTGGCTCCGTTTTCAAATTTCAAAATGTTGACGACGTTTTGAACGTTTCAGCCCGTCCTGTTGCTGACACTTTTACGATAAGAAAACTCACCTGAGCGTTCTTTGTGCTGCATAGAGCAGCAATAAAAGGGCAGAAATAGATTTTTAAAAAATAATTTGCAAGTCACTGTTCCAGGCTAGTTGCACCTGTCGCCTCTCTGGTTTGTCTGAGCACACCCTCAGGTATTGAGGCTCACGCTTTCCCCTCTCCTGTAGATGGGGACGGGGGGAGGGTTGCAATTCTCCACTCTGGTCGAGGCTACAGTGCCCTGCAGGTCAACTATGCTTATCCGGCAGGTCCAACTGGCTTCTGAACCTATGGTTCTTCCCTGTGGGAGGGAGTCTGTGACCAGCTGTGAATAGAGTGACCAGCCAGCTGCCTTAAACCAACATATTGCTTATTCAGCAGTAGAAGCAAAGCATTAGCGGGAAGGATTTTAAACTACATGCAGCCTGCACATGTGTCCATCTGACCAGGCCCTGATGGTAGCCTACACAGGCTTAGCTTCCCTCAGACCCCAGCAGGAGCCTGCTTTCCCTGAACAGCTACCTAACGACCTTTGGGAGGGAAGGAGAGAGAGATCCTCACAGCCTAGATCGAGTTCCTTTGTTCTGCTCAGGTCCCAGGCATTGGGCCCTGATTGTTCACACCAGCTCCCCGGACTCAGCAGCAGGTCCAGCCAGACTCCTCAGAGGCAACGGTCCCTCGGGCGTTTGCTGTGGGGTGGCTCATTCGGAGTCAGTTTCCTTTCTGCTTGCTTTTCCTGACAGCCCCCTATTAAACTAACCCAATACGTTCA